TTGTAAACAAAGCGGCCATGAAGTTGCTGCGCAACGGTGCCGTGGCTTACCAAAACTCTCTCAACTTCCATGATGAGAGAGAGTCTAGTTTAAATTGCGTATAGACCAAAAATCACACGAGATATAAAAAAGAAAGTTAAAGTTAGAAAAGAAGACGATGAACGACGGAGCAACTGCAACAGGCTGCATGCACGCACTAGACATGTTGTATGTTATATGTTTTGTTTAATTGTATTCTTACATTAATCCAATTGTTTACAACAATGTTCACACAACTCCAACACAGAGAAACATGTAATTTCAGGTAGTGTAACGATCCATTTTATATGCATTTGGTTACCTGTCAAAAGTTTCATATCCCCTTCTCAGTAATCTTCAATCTTGTGGTTGTCTGACAGTTGTCAAACCGAATTATCCAGTTCTAAGTCACATTTTTATGACCTGATCCATTTTTTTACTATTTAACCATATAAAGGACTTTAGTCACAAGTCTGGCTCTGGATTGTAACTGCTAAAATTATTATTAGGCATGTCCTGATCCAATCTCAACTTATTTTTTCACTCCGTGTATCCATACTTTCATTTATATTTGACGGCCAAACAATAAAACTTTGGCCACTACAAAATGATTATTTTTGAGGCTTGCAGTCCCTCTCTCTCTCATAGACACATAGGTTGACTCGTAGCAAAAGCGCCAACCATAGACTGTTAAACCTGAGACTAAATTGTGTATTCAGGCACACCACAAACTATGTAATCTACATTGCTTTGTAGGGATATTTACACAAGATTTCATGTGCATTCAAGTGCACTTCATAAACTCAAAAAGGATCAGATCAGGACTCTGTATCAGTCGATACTCAATATTATATTACATTTAGCTGACGCTTTTATCCAAAGCAACTTACAAATTGCTATACATGTCAGAGGTCACACACCTCTGGAGCAATTAGGGGTTAAGTGTCTTGCTCAGGGACACAATGGTGGATGGGTCTCAACAGGCGATTGAACCCAAGTCTCTCACACCAAAGGCATGTGTCTTATCCATTGTGCCATCACCAATGATGTTGATCAGATTTGAGGTAAAAAAAAAAAGGGATCGGGACATCCCTGATTTAATCACCTGGTCAATTTGTTTTTTAAAGAGGTAAGAACAACATGAACATCTGGATTTGAAGTTATCAGAGAAAGCAACTGGATAGACGTTAGCAGCAGCTAAAAGCTTGCCATACTGCCTCAGAGAGACACCGATTTTTAACATGAAACTGCTTAATTCAGTTTTTGGCTGGCCTATTCTGTGGTTTTTTTTGGATAAGAGGAGACCTCTGTGGATAATTCAGCTGCGATGATCTCATGCTACTTTAGGTCATCAGAGAAATTCATCTTTTGTCATTGTTGTTGAGAATCATAGTAGCAGAAACTACATATTATACATTCAAAAGATAAACCCCATGCTGTACTCACCAGCCATGTCAGGAAAAGGTTCTCTGATTTGTCGCAAACAAATATGGGTAGACCTTCAAGGCACGTTTTCCTTCAATGAAGTGCAATGTCAGATATCTGATTATCAGAAAAAAAGACAACAGACTTTACTCAGAGCAGTGAATTAAGGCCTATTTACACAAAACCACTCTGAATGAGCCAGTGGATGCAAATGTATTCATCTCTGCTTTGAAAAGCACTCAAAAAAATAAACTAAATAACTAAATGTTACAATTAAAAAAAAATAAAAAATCTGTCTTGCCTGTTCTCCCTGAAAAAATCAGGATTTACCCCACCATGGCCTCCGCTTCCACAATCGCCTTTCTCCTAAGGGAGAATGTGAGGTCCATCTTCTGTCTGAGATCCATGTCTTTCCCCCCTCTTCTTCATTTTATTCAAGACACTTCTCTGGTCTTCCAGTGTCAATGTAGTTTTTTGGATGTCAAGAGCATGATTGACTTCACCTCGCTTTGTTTTTTTCCAGGGAAAACCGACCCTCATCAACTTCGTCACCCCTCCCTCTTTTCCTGTTTACACTGACCTCATTACATCCAGCTTGGCGCAGTTTAGATCGTTAGTTTCCAAGCTTGTAACTGATCCTTGTTGTCCCGATGAGGATGACGAGCATGCAGATGAGCTTACCTGAGATGGTTCCTGACAGTTGGTGCAGAAATTCTTTGGTTATGCAAACAGATTGTTGCAGCAGCTATCCGGGTGGCTGGTCTCAGACGATCTTGGAGGTGAAGATGCTGGATGTGGAGGTCCCTGGCTGGTGTGGTTACACATGGTGTGCGGTTGTGAGGTTGGTTGGATGTACTGCCAAATTCTCTGAAACGCCTTTGGAGGTGGCTTATGGTAGAGAAATGAACATTCAATTCACGGGCAACAGCTCTGGTGGACATTCCTGCAGTCAGCATGCCAATTGCACGTTCCCTCAAACTTGCAACATCTGTGGCATTGTGCTGTGTGATGGAACTGCACATTTTCGAGTGGCCTTCTATTGTGGCCAGCCTAAGGCACACCTGTGCAATACCCATGCTGCCTGATCAGCATCTTGATATAGAAATAGGCCTTTTGTGTACATAGAAAAAGTCTTAGATCATTGAGTTCAGCTCATGATGAATGGGGGCAAAAGACAAAAAAACAAAAGTGCTGTGTTTATAATTTTGTTCAGTATATATATATATATATATATATATATATATATGTACGTGAAAGTGTGATGTGTTTGATCAGACGTGGACACAGAAAAAAAAAAGAAACAGGAAGGATAAAGCCTGCATGTTGCCTGTGACATCACAGCAGAGACATGTAGTTGATGGTTACATCATACTAAAAATGTTTGTACAGTTAATGAAAAATGCTGTGGCAAAATTATGTTTTAATGGTCAATAAGATGTCTGGTCTGATTTACATTTTATTTATACTCCTAAATAGTTCCTAATTTACTTACATTTTAGTCAGGAGAGATAGAATTGCAGATATGCTTAAAGAATGATAAAATAAATGTATTGACATAATACACAATGGCAAGGTTGAAGAAAGGGAAGTGTTTGGTCATATTTTAAGGGTTTGATTCCATACAGTCAATAAGTAATAATCCCCCAGATGGAGGCTAGACACTGGTGGGATGAAGGGGTGAAGAACAATGGCTGATGATCTGGATGGATGAGATGTGGAGTAAGACTCTACACACTCTAAGGACCAACTGGGAAGACTGGTTGCGATGAAGACCAGTGGTGAATGGGGTGGAGGGGGAGTGCATTGATCTGACATTGAAATGACAGCAATATGATTGGCTCACAAAGGTTGTGGCAAAATCTCATTGGTTTAACTGAACAAGTGAATGCCTTCAGACAGCTGATGAATTTAAAGCGGGAAAAATATAGGGGATGTACTAGAAGAATAAATGTGAAATATATGAAAAATAGTTTTTCTTGACAAATAGATTTTTTATTTTCAGCACACTCTATATAATATTCTCCATAACAAAAGGGCACTCGGAGAGCACAGACCTGCGCCAAGGACAATAGTCCAGTTTTCTATGAGATGCACATCTGCAGCCACTATACACTCACCTAAAGGATTATTAGGAACACCATACTAATACTGTGTTTGACCCCCTTTCGCCTTCAGAACTGCCTTAATTCTACGTGGCATTGATTCAACAAGGTGCTGAAAGCATTCTTTAGAAATGTTGGACCATATTGATGGATAGCATCTTGCAGTTGATGGAGATTTGTGGGATGCACATCCAGGGCACGAAGCTCCCGTTCCACCACATCCCAAAGATGCTCTATTGGGCTGAGATCTGGTGACTGTGGGGGCCATTTTAGTACAGTGAACTCATTGTCATGTTCAAGAAACCAATTTGAAATGATTCGAGCTTTGTGACATGGTGCATTATCCTGCTGGAAGTAGCCATCAGAGGATGGGTACATGGTGGCCATAAAGGGATGGACATGGTCAGAAACAATGCTCAGGTAGGCCGTGGCATTTAAACGATGCCCAATTGGCACTAAGGGGCCTAAAGTGTGCCAAAAAAACATCCCCCACACCATTACACCACCACCACCAGCCTGCACAGTGGTAACAAGGCATGATGGATCCATGTTCTTTCTGTTGACGCCAAATTCTGACTCTACCATCTGAATGTCTCAACAGAAATCGAGACTCATCAGACCAGGCAACATTTTTCCAGTCTTCAACTGTCCAATTTTTCCAAATTCCAAATTGTAGCCTCTTTTTCCTATTTGTAGTGGAGATGAGTGGTACCCGGCGGGGTCTTCTGCTGTTGTAGCCCATCCGCCTCAAGGTTGTGCGTGTTGTGGCTTCACAAATGCTTTGCTGCATACCTCGGTTGTAACGAGCGGTTATTTCAGTCAAAGTTGCTCTTCTATCAGCTTGAATCAGTCGGCCCATTCTCCTCTGACCTCTAGCATCAACGAGGCATTTTCGCCCACAGGACTGCCGCATACTGGATGTTTTTCCCTTTTCACACCATTCTTTGAAAACCCTAGAAATGGTTGTGCGTGAAAATCCCAGTAACTGAGCAGATTGTGAAATACTCAGACCGGCCTGTCTGGCACCAACAACCATGCCACGCTCAAAATTGCTTAAATCACTTTTCTTTCCCATTCTGACATTCAGTTTGGAGTTCAGGAGATTTTCTTGACCAGGACCACACCCCTAAATGCATTGAAGCAACTGCCATGTGATTGGTTGATTAGATAATTGCATTAATGAGAAATTGAACAGGTGTTCCTAATAATCCTTTAGGTGAGTGTATATTGTATGAGCAAATTAATCATTACCTTAGATGTTCTTGTAATATCTTATGTGCTGTCATTACACTCTGTAAAATGGGAACTTGACTAATGAGCAGATGACATAAGGAATACACACGGGGGGGGACAAGAAAACAAACAACGAGAAAAGCTTGTCAACAAAACCACAAGAAAAACCAAACACTACAAAAACCCCAAAACCATGACAAGAAGTACACACATGAGAAGTTATGATCTTTACAACCTTTACATCAGAAAAAGGCTTTGATAAATTGGATGAACTGTAACTAAGAGACATTGCTACAGCATGATCTCATGTCTACATACAAGAACAATAATTTCTAAACACCTTGCATTATTATAGCATACATTGAAAAGGCATTATCAAATGTAGACTCTTAAAACATACACCGATTTTAGGCTACTTTCTCACAGATCCATCGCAAAGAAGTTTCACAGGACCGGTCATTCCACTCATTGGTGTAAGGCATCAAATGTGCACAATCCTCTTCGCCCCAACGTGGATCTCCACCACCATTATCAGACTGCCATACTGCTCCGTACCTAACATGTTAATGAAAAATAAAATCCCAAGTCTATAAATCTCTGACAAACACAGTTCCTCAGTGGCCCATAATGCTCTCCAGGGTAATAAATTATAAATGTAAAATTTCTCCAGAACTACAAGTATTTCTTAAGCAAAATGAATCACCAAGGTAACATACTGAATCAAGGTCCTCCGTTCAGAATTAAAATCCGCTTTATTCATAGTTTTCACGTGACGTCACTTTCCAAGGAAAACGGTCCCTTGAAGAGCAAAAAGACGTAATTTTCCGCTGCCTGCCAACCAATAAGCAAGTGAGACACTTTGAGTTTGTTACTTTTTGTTTTGCCAAAATGCTGGATGGTTGTTTGCTTTCGGGTTTACTAATTGAGGAGGAGACAAACCTGAGCGGTGTTGGGTGAGGGATTCCCCAGAAGGTTAAAGTAAACATTACCGTACAGTCGAGCGGCGGCAGGGCCTGGCGGTTTTTAACAGTAGAAATGCGGCAAGGGATGCTGTAACGTTAGCCTATTTGGATCGGATATGCCAAACACTTGCAGTTTGTGTTCATATCTTTCTTTTCCTTCAGTTGAAAGGTGAAAACTTGACTGCTTTTGCGGCGTCTCTAGGGGGGAATCGCGGTGTGAGCAGCTACGTTGTTTCGCGCATGTCACGTGACTGAAAACTATGAATTGCCAGGTATGTGTACACATACAAGGAATTTGACTCTGGATTGTACAATGCTCATTATATGCTTATTTATACAATAATACAATAGCACAATAATACAGTAATAAAGTCAAACACAGGCTACAGTTAGAGAACACATATATACACACACTGTGAACACTTTCTTTCCAATAATATGCCACAGTACTAGTAGATAAACTAAAACGGTGTAAATTACACAAAACTAGAAGTAGATTTTATGGTACTGTATAGTAGTTTCTGATTATATTTAAGAAAAAACATTGTTTGAGAATTTGTAACTGCTTAGCACTGTGACTGTACACATGGCATGTTGTTAGCATTATGCTGTGACTAAAGTGTTCCAGCTCCGGTTGCCTGACCTGGTCTTGTTCAGTGCAGTGGTGACTTGCTTATACAAACTGAGGAGGCAGGTGTCATCCTAAAGTTTTAAAATGATAACTTCCCAGAAATAAATCACCCTCCCATGGGAAAACTGTTCAATAAAAAAGTGTAATATAAAATTGATAATGGATCTTAGGCCTAATTAAAGAGTTTACTCTTCGTTATTCTTTATTATCTGAAAGCTGCAGTAACATTTTTGCATTGGTAGAAACCGGTTGAGTCATTTTGTGTTATCTATAATAAACCTATGTAAATATTAATGCATGCACGACATCTGTGCTTGTCTGATGAAAGTTCCATTCAAAACAAATACATTTTAGAAAAATAAAATTCAACCAGTGGATCCTTACGTCAGAGTCTTTGGAGTTCCATCTATCCATTTCCAGGTCCCTTCCTCTTCTCGGTCGCTCAAACCAATCCATGTGTCTTCATTGGTTAATGTATAGAGAAACCTCTGTTCAACATAAAGAAACCCACATAATATTTTAGTTTTAACCACAATATATGTGCAGGTCATTTTCTTTAAATCCTGTACACGATCATGAAAAATGTTTGCTGCCAGATAGACATCATAACCAAAAGTGGGCAAAGAGGCGGGTCGTGGGTGGAACTACGGTGCCTGGTCGCTGAAACCCCATCCGCCTAGCTCTATGTGACCAAGTTAGCTCAGGCTACTGAGGTAATGCTAAATGCTACTCTGCGTTAGCAGAAGTAGCTTCCACCCGGGGCTTGTCTGGTTGGCATTTGGTGGCCTGTGGCCGCATCGTTACCAGCTTAGGCGTTACGGCAGGTAAGTTAACCTGAAACTATAGTTTTTTTAAGTGTTGTATATATACAACTCTTAAAGTAACAAGTAACAATTTCTGTTATTTAGGTTATACTACACGAGATTTCAAATGCTTCAACGTGTTTTAATATATAAATGAGGGAATTTGCCACACTAGATTATGTGCAAACTAATGTTAACGATACCATGAATCAGCATTTATTGTTATAGCTACGTGGCATTTGACAGCTGATATTGTTGCTATTATATTGTCTGTCTTCAAAGGACAACACTAAAACATTATTTAAATATCGAGGTGTGGCTCCCTTTTCTCTCAAATATGACATAATAGTACTGTCACCCAAACTGAGGCATCTTTTATAGTTAACTTTCTACAGTATTTTACATTAACTACTTGCAACATTTATTACTCATTTATTTTCCTCCCAGAGTCACCCTGTGGATCAGATGTCCCATCTGGTTCCAGACAGCTGCAGAAAGCATCCTCAGTGTGCTGGACATGATCAGCATATGAGGCCGTGGACATGGAAAGGCCTTCTCCCCTTCTGTTCACTTTTACACTTAGTTTTAAATGTTGTCCGTATGTGTTTTTTTATTTTTTATTTTTATAAATTATGTTTCACACTGAAATAAAGTCTTTATATATTTACACTCATTTTGTTTTTACTATTGAATGAAAATGTTAAATGTCACTCTGTCAGTTCCAAGTTAATTATACAACACAGATAAAATATCAAACATTAAAGTTGAACTCTTGCTAAGAAACACCACTCTATTAAAAACTGAAAATACAACCAAAAATGATTCATGGTTCACATGCTGAAAAGTAATTATGCAGTGTATTTCTGTCTGTGCAGGAGTATTTTCAATTTCTACCTTATACTTAAAGATAAATAAGGAGTCAGTACCAGAGCCTGAATAGTTTTTGAAGAATGCCTTGTTTGTTGCTCTGATTTATGTCTAGTTTAAACACAGAAGAACGAGCACACATCCAAACCAACCTGTGGGTAAATGATGAAACAAAGAATGACCTGCACGGAGTAACAATGAATCCCACTAGGTGTGAAGAATGTGATTTTATTTTAAGTAAATTTAGTATATATATTAGCATATATAACATATTAGTATATTAGCATATATAACATAAAATATTTCTAATATAAAAGCAAAAGTTTAACACATTTTAATCATATCTTGCATTCATAGAAACATCAATATTGGAAAGTGTTTCGTATGACTTGAAGTAATGTATTGTAACAGTAAATATAATGACAGAACCTATGATTATGTACCCAGTGTCATAATTTGAAGCCAGTCCAGGTGTTAAAGAGGTGGTATTATGCTCATTTTCAGGTTCAAAATCTTAATTAGATGTTGTACCAGAACAGGTTTACATGGTTTAATTTTCAAAAAACACAATATTTTTCTCATACTGCACATTGCTGCAGCTCCTCTTTTCACCCTATGTGTTGTACGCTCCGCTCTTGAGCTACAGAGTGATGCATCTTACTTGTACAAAATCTTTGTTTTGGGAGTTGTACAGGCGCAGTTCCCAGGTAAGGACTACTAGCCAATCAGAAGCAGAGAAGGGCGGGTCGTAAGAAACAAGGTAGTGTGATCCAAATCAAAGCCGCTTCAGACTGTGACCGTAACCTAGCAGATGGTATAAGTTACTCACAAGTCCACAACCACACAACATCATTGTTCCACATCTTAACATCAGGACTAAACGTTGAACTGTTGCCGGTGTTCTGATGATCTATGCTGCCTTGCCAAAAAATGCTACCATAGCGCAAATCGATAGACTCGACTTGGCCCTGCTCCGTTTTCCATTGCAGCTTGTTGTCATAGCGACACCACACACAACTGCCACGACGTAATGTTCAATGCGACACACACACCAGCGATCCACACAGCTTTCTCTTTTTTAAGTTAAAACGTTTCAACATTCCTCAGAATGTAAAGACAGATAAGCGGTATGAAAACTTCCAGCTGTGTTTCCTCTGCCGTTGTTGCTGCAGCGGTCTGTGTGACGGCGGGAGCAGAGGGCTCTGTGAGCGGGCGGCTGGCTGGCCTCACACACTCCTGGACTTTGGGAAAAACATATATAACTCAATAAAGGAGAGAAATGTCACAAAGGGTCCAACAGAGCAGAGTTGCCGAGCTCCGTAACTGACTGTATTCTTCTTCTTCTTCTTCTTTTTCTGTTCCTTTCCGGCAGACTAGGCACTGTTAGTGCATTGCTGCCTCCCACTGGTGATAAAGACAGGCTACATTAAAGCTCCCCCTGACCTATATTTTCCAATATAGGCCCGTGGCTTTTAGGAAGTGAAATAGTTCCAATGCTCTTTCTGTTTGATTAGGACCATCACCCATCAGAGTTTTAACAGATAATAGATCAACTCCCAGAACGTTTAGGCCAATGAATAACAATCTCCTTTCCTCAGCATATCTCAGACAGAACATGATGACATGCTTGACAGACTCCTGTACTCCACAGACTTGGCACTTGCCGTCCCTGTGCTTTCCCACCAGGAACAGCCCACTTGCCAATCCACAATGACCCAGTCTTAATCGGGCCAACTTAATCTGATCCATCCGAGGCAAGATAATTGTGTTCCCAGGGTTGAGTAATGGTTTTACGTCATAGAACTTTCTCCCGCTGGTATCTTTACTCCACTCGTGCTGCCATTGTTGTGTCAGTCTTTCCTTAATGATGCTACGGCACTCCAGTCTGTCAAATGGCACCTCCACCTCCACATTTTCCCTACCTAAACTTGCCCAAGCAGCCTCATCAGCAGCCTCATTCCCCTCAACCCCCACATGTGCTGGAACCCACAAGAAACCCATCACGCCAGATAGTGAGTCAGAACAAATGATGGCTTTCCACTTTCTTCTACCCACCACAGAGCCCATATGATTGCTACCAGTTCAGCTGTAAAGGATTGAAAGACCATCAGGCAATCTATGACACTGTCTAACATGAAGCTGGGGAACATATAAACCAAAGCCCACTTTCTTATTCTCAGGGTCTCTAGATCCATCTGTATAAATATCTATGTAGCTATTCCATAATTTCCTAAGATGCTCCTGTACATAATGTGCAACATTTCCTACACATCCTTCCTTTATTAAATTTTTAATAGATATGTCTACATCAACCTCAAGCAATAGCCAATGAGGGATAGATGGCCAGTAGACAGAAGGCACCATTTTCCTTTCATTAAGCTTAAGCTCCTCTGCGTATGTCTTAACAGAATGTAAAACACTATATCTATTAAGCCTACTCTCACCCTTTCTAAACTCCTAACACTCTGCTAACAAAGAAACTGAAGGAAGAGCTGACCCAAAGCTTTTAATTTTTTTACGAAATAATTTAATGCTAATTTTGCACGTCGCAGCCTTAGCGGAACCTCCCCTGCTTCCACTAACAGCGACAGAATCGGCGTTGACTGGAATGCCCCAGTACATATCCTCAAAGCCCTAGATTGAACCACATCTAACTTATTAAGTGTGGACCTAGCTGCTGATCCATATGCAAGACACCCATAATCAAAAATTTATCTTATCATAGCTTTATAAATCATCAGCATAAGATTCCTGTCTGCACCCCAAGAACACCCAGCCAAACACCTCAAAATATTAATAACCTTTCTACATTTATTCACCATTCTACATACATGTTCTTTATACGTTAGCTTTTCATCTACCCAGACCCCAAGAAACTTGAAGACCCTGGCTCTCTCAAGAGGTTCCCCATACAACTTAAGACCCAGACTGTCTATATTCCTCTTCCTGCCAAAAACCATATACTTTGTTTTTTTCAATGATAGCCTAAAACCCCACTTATCACTCCAAGCCTGCACCTTATTCAAAGCACACTGCATCCGTTTAAACAAGTACCCAGTATTACGGCCTCTTTTCCACATTGCTCCATCATCTGCAAACAAAGATCGCTGAAATCCACTTCCTACCTCATCAAACATATTATTAACCATTACATTGAACAGAACTGGACTGATGACACTACCCTGTGGAGTCCCATTTTCTACGAACACAGAGTCAGAAAAGCTCCCTCCTACTCTTACTTGAATATACCGTGATCTCATAAAGTCCTTAATCCAATTAATCATTCTGCCCCGAAACCCTGCATCATACAACTTAATGATTAGTCCTTCTTTCCACAGCATATCATAAGCCTTCTCTATATCAAAAAACACACCTACCACCACCTCTTTATATGAGGGCTTTCTTGATATCATCATCCAACACTAAAAATGAATCCATAGTACCACGACCAAGTCTAAAACCATTCTGATATGTAGAGAAAAAAACCTTTCTTTTCTAATCTATATACCAACCTGTCAGTAACCTTCCTTTCCATAATCTTACAGATAACAGCTGTGACAGCTGTGAGAGCAATTGGTCTGTATGACCCAGGGCTTTCAGCTTCCTTACCGGGTTTTAAAATCGGCACAATCACTGCGTGTTTCCATTCGGCTGGAATTGATCCTTCCTCCCACACTGTATTAATCAATGCCAATACCTCCTCCAATCCAAAGTCATCCATATGCTGAAAGATCTCATATCCCAATCCATCTCTTCCAGGCGCAGAGTGTCGCCCTCGTCTTATTGACCTTCTTAGTTCATGTATGGAAAAGAACACATTGATTACATCACTGTTGTCATTATTCTTGTTAAGTTTATGCCCTTCCTGCTCAAGCATTAGCTCCTTCCTAATCAAACCTTTACTGCCAACATTCCTATCACTGTGCACTTGCTGGAATCTCCGAACCAACAGATCAGCCTTGTCCTCATTACTTACCACTTCTCTACACCCTTCTACCAAAACAAGAATAGAGAAACCTCTATTAATTCCCGCCATCCGATGAATAATATTCCAAACCTGTTTAACAGTAGTCTCAGAACCTTGGGTGCCACAGAACTTCTGCCAACTCTCTCTCTTCGCACACTTTATAACCTTTCTAGCCTCAGCTCGCCGTTGCTTATATTCAACAACGAGGCTCTCAACAGGATATCTGCAAAGCTGCCTATAAGCTCTATTTCTAACCCACACAGCCTCATCACAAGCCTGATTCCACCACGGCACTGCTTTTCTCTCTTACCTCTCACCCTTAATTTTAATGGCTTTTTCTGCTGCTTTCCTCACGACTCCACAAAGAAAATTACTCCACTCATCAGTACTACCTTGACTAACTACATCACTGCAATCTGCTTTTAAAAAATTAAACCCTCTCACCGCTCTCTCCTTCTCCACCTGTAAAACACTACCAAATTCACTAAAAATAGGGAAGTGATCACTCCCTAAGGTGTTAAGTTCCATAGGATACCAACTCCCACACCTTGCAAGTTCACCTGACGCAAAGGTTAAATCAATACATGACAACCTCCCACTATTAACCTGAAACCTAGTCGGTCTTCCATCATTTAACACCACCAAATTGTTTTTATCTATAAAATTTTCTATTAAAACCCCATTTCCATCTATGGATTCTGCTGCCCCAAAGAGGATTGTGAGCATTAAAATCTCCTGTCCACACCACTGGAGGCCTCACCTGATCCGTTATTTCATCTAACTTATTCATTTCCAACCGAAGACAAGGATTATAAAAATTCACCAATGAAAACCTACCTGCTGTGCTCCATACCTCAATTGCTACACATTCCAATCCTGAGGTAATATTTAATTGCCTATATTGAACACCTTTTTTAACAAATATTGCACAACCCCCTCCAGATGAATTTCTGTCTTCAGAAATCACAAAAACGGTTTTAACCATGTCTCCTGAATGCATATTAACTGTGGTTTGTTTTTGCAATCATCCACAAACTTCTTTAATTCCTGTCCATTAGCTATCACACTCCTGGCATTCCACTGCAGAATACAAAACATTAATAGACTCAATCAATCAATTTCATCATCATCATCTTCCATTTGGCCTCCATTATTCTTTTCCCTTCTGTCTCTTGAGAACACATATCTATAGAGGGCCGCTGGCTCAACCTTTACAACCCCAAGACTCCTCTCACAACGTCTTATTATTCAATTATTCTTAGTCTGCTTAATGTCACACATCACTTCCACAATGAAAGCCAGGAATTTCATCTTACTCACCACCACTGAATCTTCTGTTACATAAGTGGAGGGCATTCCGCTTGTCTTCTCCTTATGTCACTCACCTCACCACATGCTGCAACCTTTTTGACAGCCTCAGCATAAGACACCCCTTTGTTAGTCTTCCTAAACTGCTGCACCCTCATAGCCTGCTTATATTGTTCACGTTTTCCAGCTACGTGCCCTCCACCACATGAACCACACTTTAACACCTTCTCCTTGCACTCAGAGAACTCGTGTTCTCCTCCACATTTCCCACATCTTCTATTTCCTCTGCAAGCAGTTGCAATATGTCCATACCTCTGACACTTAAAACACCTCAAAGGTGGCCTTCTGTATGGCTTCACTTTAAATGACTAGCACCCCAGGAACACTCGTTCTGGAAGGGCTCTTTCCTGAAAAGATAACACCACAGTTGATGATTCCTGCTTAGCTCCATCACGAAAGATTTTAATTCGTGTGGCCTCATCAACCTCCCTATCACATCCAGTGAAACAGCTCTGTTCAACTGAGGTTGAATATAATTTAAACGGGTGAGTTATAAAAACATTCACCCCCCTCACAGTTGTCATGAAGGGCAAACATAGCAATATACAGTAAATACATCTTTTGTACCAGGCTGTAAACATGTTTTATTCTGCTGTAAAGTTGGGCTTTTTAACATGCACATTACATTTTGGAGCCAGCCTCAAGTGGCCACCCGATGAATTGCAGTTTTAGGCATTTCTGGTTTGGCTTCACCCAGCAAACCGGAAGGTTGCCGCTTGGTTGTCCCACATCAGCGCCTTCCATCTGGGGTAAGCCACACCGATGTTTATCCTTGATTTCTGCCATCGTCTATCCAGATTTCGTCTGGCTTCATCATTGTTTTCACTTCTTTGATGATTGAGGGTTCATGCTCTGCTGGCTCTAAAAAGTACGTGTTGTCCTCCATTGCTCCATTTACTCCTCTCCTTACTTCTAATACACCAGACAACTACTATTACTACTACTACTACTACTACAACAAAAACATCAATTGCAACTACAACTACTACTACTTCTTCGTACGTATTCAATGTAGTGACGAAATACACTCTGTAGGGCAGTTTGTCCATTTTGGGCTACTGCAGAAAAATGGCAACTTCCATTAAGGGGATCTGCAGTGTATGTAGATAGAAATGGCTCATTCTAAGGTTAAAAAAACATGAACGTTAATTACCAACTGATAACTGCTCCTAAATATTACACACCGGACCTTTAACCTCGACTACTGCAATGCCCTCCTAGCAGGTCTTCCAGCTTGCACGGTGATTCAGAACGCAGCAGAACGTCTGGTTTTTGATTAGCCCAAAAGGACTCATGTCACTCCATTACTGTGGCCTCCAGAATCAGACTCAAGTCACTAATGCTTACATACAGAGTGACTACTGGGTCTGCACCCATCTACCGAAACTCCATAATACAAGTTTACGTTCCTTCCCGGCTGCTACGCTCCTCCAACGAACGCCGCTGGCTCTGACATCCCTTCACACAAAGCGATCTCGGTCCTGGCTGTTCTCATCTGTGACACCACAATGGTGGAACAAGCTGCCACATGCCATCAGAGCAGGGGGGTCCCTCTTCTTCAAGAAGCTCTTGAAAACTCATCTCTTCCAAGAACACTTTCTCTAACTCCTAACCTCTAACATGCACTTCCTGTGCTCTTCTTCTTCTATCCCCTACAATTATCTTGTATTGATTGCTCTTTTTGTTAAATCTTACTTCTTTTCCTATGTATTTACCCCATTGATGTGATATGTGTCATTAGCACTTTCTAGTATTTATTGCTGCTCTTACTAGTATGTATTGTCAGTTGTAGATCTCATGCTGTATTTGATGCTCTGTTGATGCTTGTATGTTGTTCCTCAAATATAAGTCGCTTTGGATAAAAGCGTCTGCCAAATGAGTAAATGTAAATGTAACCTTAAAATAGCAGTCTCTACCGGTAGGGAACTCAATATTTGTCCCCATGGTGACATGAGTCCCCATCGATTAGCATGCATTTAGGTTAAAGACACACGGCGGAGTTTTCAAAGTGGGACCATAGACTGAATAGAGTGGGACGCACGTCTCCCCAAGGGCCCCCACCACCACACACACACACACACACACACACACAGTACCTGTTCTTCAGTGCTGTCTATCACCACCAGATCTCCTCCTTTGCCTTTACAGTCCTCTCTGCCTTTATCCCAAGAACCAGACTTATCAGAGAGGAAATAACAGGTAACACAGGATATCCTCCATCCTTCAGGACAGGTTTTCTCTATAACATACATCAAGAGATATTACAGGACAACAAGACTCATGTCCACATTTTTGTGAAGTTAGTTAGCAGCAAACAACTTTTTCAGTGAAGGACCCTTTAATGGTGCTCATTAGGTTGGTGTAGCCTTTTTGGATCGATGCGACTCCAAATTGTGATTTTCCTGCTGGTTTTTTAACTTCTGACCTGAGTGACTAATTATTATTCTAATTATTACATAATTAATCTTTTGTTGTTATCATACATTTATGTTTTATTTATACAATTTATTAATTTTGGACTTGCTCATTTGTAGTATTGTATTTATTTATGCATTTCTGTTTATTTCTGTATTTCTACATTTATTTATGCCTGGATTTCCACATTTATTTTTCCCTGTGCCTGTATGCTAATTGCAATTTTAATTGCCTTTTGCTTTAGAGACCCCTGAATTGATGAGATGTAATGTTTGAACTCTTATGAATCGGCAAAAGAGCAAGGTTTCTTATCTGCACATTTGTAAATGTGAAATTTGACCAAAATAATAAGGAGATTAATCAAGTACACATTCTTCCAAAGCAAAGAAAAACTATAATAATTGAAATATTTTATGAAATAAAAGCACATAATTTTTTCCAGAAATTCTTCACAATAGGACAATGCCAAAACAGATGTATAACAATTTCTGGACATCCACCACAGAAACTACAATTCATTTCAATATCTTTCCTAAATCTGTACTTAATATAGTTTTTAGCTGGATAGAATTTATGTATTAATTTAAAGGAAATTTCTTTGATTTAATTGGTGATTATGTATTGATTAAGTAGAAACCATGCCTTCTTCCATACTATATCATCCACAAATTGATCCCAGTATGGAAGGTTCAGATCTACTACTACTGCCTTGACTTCACTGGAGAGTGAAGACACGGATGGTCACTGCCAGTAGGGGGTGCTAAAGATAGTGGTCGCAATCCACCACAATGAAATCACATATCAATATATAATAGTATATTATATCAGGCCGCATCCCCTTCCATCACTGAAATATGAAAATATATATGTATAACAGATTTTAATGTAATGACAGGTGTTCTTTCACATCTTAACTTCCTATTGAAATTCCCTCCAAGTGGGGCTATTAGTGTTGTTTCGTGTCCCTCTCTGATAATTCCCATTTTTTGTCTGAAATGATGGAATTCATCTCTAGTTCCCATTTTTCTTTGATGTCCTGTGGATACTGTTATCCATCAATTCTTCTTGTAAGATATTCTATATGTGTGAAACAGTTCCTTTTTTATTATAATAAAGTATTCTATAGGTTGTTGAGGTACATAGTTTGTCCGATTCTTTGTTTCTGGTTTGTATATTTAATTTATTTTAGTAAATACAAAGTCCACACTACTTTAAACATGCAGTGGTGAACCTTATTGGACCATCATCACTCACCACACTTTCCTTCACAGGTGATAAGCTCTTGTAGTCAATAACCAAAGATAGAGAGATTTATTACTGTAGATTTAACCACACAAACTGCAGTATAGTGCAACAATAAGAATATAGGTATAATCGTGTTTGTAAAACACAGCCAGGAAACCTCAACAAACCCTCCACCTACAACTGACCTTTCCCAACCACTATCTTTAGCGCCCCTAGTGGCAGCAACGAGTGGTCTGTGTGGAAGCAACTGGACTACTGACTTGGCTGCAACCCCTGCTGCTTCACTGGTTCACTGAAGCTTAGCCTTTTACTCCCTACTGGCAGTGCTTGAAGTGGGCCACTACTCTCACTGTTGCACCTCTATATTTTATGCTTTAGCATAACGTTACCAGGTCTTTTTCCTGCACACCGGCAATTCTCACAAGCTGCAGGTCATTCTGCCCTACTCATATCAAGATATAGATGCACTACATCAAGCATTACAAATGTTGAACTCGTTCTGTATGAATGGTTATGATTATTGACAGTAGTTATTAGCAAATTAAGGATTAACCACCATGTAGACAACTTATGGAGGTGAGCTAAAAAGTATATAGATTATATTGAACACTAACATCTGCCCTAATCAAGTATGGTAATATAATCATAAATGGTTTTTTTTGCTGCAGTAGAATGTTGAATTATTTAATCTCAACTAAGAATGTGTTGAAATGTTACAAATATTCTATAAAATAAAGTGCAACCCATGCTGACCATTGCGGGGAGCGGTGACAGTCGTTAACAGGAACAACACATTTTTAATTAGGGTTATTGGTTGCATTTGAAGAAATAAGTGTTACATACAATCAAAGTTAGGATGTTAACATACACATCAGACAATGCAAAAGCAACGTATTGATATTCCCAAAGTTATGGTCTTGACTAGTGTAGTAAATCAACCAGCCTTTCACCTCAAGAGGAGGTGAGATCAGATTCACCAAGGGGGGCTTCATTCCTAAGAGTTAGCCTTTCGACATGTAAAGCGGAGACATTGCCTTGGTGTTTGGGTAAGGACCCTGCACAGACTCAATTGGACGTGTCAGACTTAAGAATTGTTTATGCGGGACCATCCAAACCACTTCCGCTGTAAAGGTGTGGACACTCTCCAGAATGAGCAAAAGGACAGAGAAACCATGGCAACCCCTCTCAACCAAAGTAAAATACAACCCCCTTTTCTCCATGGTGCTATACTCCCACACACACACACACACACACACACACACACACACACCACACCACTGAGCCAACGATGGTCGTTCAGTCTTCGCCTCGGGTAGTCCTAGCGACCATAACGTCACTATAACAGCCAGGAACACTAACGAACCAGCGGTATCGAAGATCTTGGCAAACGACCCCACTGAGGTTAAATAGCTGAGTTTCCCTACCAGTCAGTTAGAACTGAAGAAGTCCCTTGGATGAGGGACGAAACGTCTTCTAGTATCTTCAACCAAATCCAGTTGCCCTTGACTTTAACATTCTTTGGATAACTATGACCTGAATGAGAATCTTCACAGGCATGATTTTCTGCGATTCGCGATTAATCGCAGAAAATTAAATCTAAAATATTGTATTGCGCACTTTTAATTGAAATGTACTGCTTTAAACAAATAAGGTGCTTTTTGCCAACAGTATTTCCTTGACACAGTAGCAATAACCTTCGTTGGATAACTCTGTGGGATCGTTTACTAGGATCGTCGATACTGCTGGTTTGTTAGTGCTCCTGGCTGTGGTAACGACTGTTGTCATGGTCGTTAGAGCCACCTGTGGCCAAGTCTGAACGACCATCATTGGCATCTTCACCTGATGCCAAGAGGAAATGCTTGTTTAGTTTCCTGGGAAGTGATGAAAGGACAGAATTGTAAGTGTGGGATAAGACCCCGTCCACTGTTCAACGAGGGCTTCTCAATCCGGGTGTAAATGGCTTCCTTGACACCTCTTTCAAACCATCCATCTTCTAAAATGTGCACTTGGTGATCCTCAAACAAGTGTCCTTTATCCTTCAGATGTAAATAAACTGCTGTTCTTCGTTTCTTTTCAACTTCCTGCCAGACGATCGGAGAAAGCTCCGTGATCCCCAATTCCCATTTTTCTATCAGGAGATTTGACCTTAGTTTTGGAGCCTCCCTGGGAAGAAACTTTCCCCAGAGTTTTTGTTTAAACTCAGCAACGTTAACTAGCCTATATTCCTGAGGCCTCGCGAACCTGCGGTGAATGTATGTGTTCTATTCAATTTTATTTGTTTTTGAAGTTATCAGACCGTTTAGTTTACGCAACTTTTAATCCAGAAATCCAGCAAGTTCTTTCAACCCGCACCTCGTTTTAAACTGTAAACTGCTCCCAACGACAGAGTTTGTAGTTCAGTCAACTAAGCTATTAGCGACACCACTCTAATTCAGAGCACCAAGACAGGGCTGACTGCCCGTTTACAGTGAGAGTTTTTCCGCAACCACCAAAGGTCTCCGGGATAACGCTGCATGAAGGTTTTATACGTCACTTCCTCTGTCCCCTTTTTGGTGCTACATAGCACTTGGCGCTATGAATATAAATTAATACTGACGTGTGGATGTCTTCGGGGTGGAACAGTTATCAAGCATGTAAAGTTTTGTTCAGATGTGAGCATGTACACTGAAGTTAAAACAACTTCCTGTGTCATAGCAAAGAGTTGATTTTTGATGCCACGCCACGGACACGCCCATTGACGAAAACTCACAGATAGCACAACTTTTCATCGTCAATGCCTTTAGAAGGCACAGCAGAAATTTGATGTTGATCGAACTAAACGCCTATGAGAAGTTGGTTAAAGTACGAAGTGTGTAAATCATCCAAAAATGGCCGTAAAATTCGAAATGGCTGACTTCCTGTTGAGTTTAGGATGTGGGTTCTTGAGGCTTTTTTTTGCGTCTGGACATGATACATGTCCCTATGCATGTAGGTTGAACGAGGACGAGGGGCTAATTTTTTCCAATTTTCTAGGTGGCGCTAGCAAGTCATTTTGCGCGAAACCCATAAAATACAAAATTTTTCACCACTTCCGACATGTGTGCAAAATTTGGTGAGTTTTCGAGTATGATTAGGCCCCCAAAATTGAGCTTACTTTGCAGAAAAAAGAAAAAAAAAACACCTAACTGTTTCAATAGGGACCTCGCACGGTTCGTGCTCGGGCCCTAATAATACAACACCAGTTTAGAGCTCCCTTCACAACACTGTCTCCACCGCGGCCTCTCCCTCTGCTGGCCGCTGTGTGTGTGTGCGTGTGTGTGCAGGAGCAGAAAGACTGCGTTAAATCAGATTTAAATGACACAAATTAACTCTCGGGACAAAAGGTTTGCATTAAAGCACAAGCTAGACTGGATTACTTTAGCTGCATTTATAAGCTCTGGAATTTTCAAGTTTGGAGAAATTTGGAACCAGGTCCCATAGAACCAGGTCTCGATACTCATCCCTACTATTTGAAAGCCACAACATTACTCCTGCTGTAGCATCAGCTATCATGCTGCATTAAATTATATTTTCTCTAAACATAGTTTAGCAGGTTAGATA